TGATAGGCAACTGTCTCAACAATTATTTCTCATATTTATTAATATATTTTGTCAAAAAGTATGGCTTTTATGGCTATAGATTGTGTCAATTATTTATTACAATATTATATAATAACAAACACGCGTTTAATATTAATATTAGAGCCATTCATAGGTAAGGCACTTGTATTCACTACAACTATAATAAATTTATGCAAATATTTCATATTTGATAATCAATGGCCGTAAATGTGGACAATAAGAAATATTCAAAATACCAATTACAATATTGTAATGTCATGTCATGTCATGTAAATTATATTACTTTTATCATTTTTGGTACCAAATACGGCCACAAAGTATTGTAACTTAAATTAAGATCTCGTTAAATGAATGTTTTGTTACAATAGTTGTCGACTTAAATATTGATCAGGAACATTATTCAATAAATCATTGGCGCGTTCAATGGCACTAATGTTTGCATTCATATATGATTAATGTTCACAATAAACGTTATATTAACTACATTTCAATTTCGATATTAATAACAATTTTCGAGAGTCTAATGTCTGGATGTGGGATATATTTAAAGTCAATGTGTGTCTGGTCTACAAAAGCATTGCACTATTAATTATTTTGAATTTGAGTTTAAAACCGGGAATTTTTTGATCTTTTTTTCTACTAAAATACAATCGAAATGAACTAAAAGTGCCATTAATTTCACTTTTCAACAAATGTGTCAAAGAATTGTAGAAAATAAGAGATCATGTGATAAGTTATAATCAGAGCACAAATCTTAAGAATATTCTTCTCATTATAATGGATTAGAATTGTTATTAAAATCTGCAAAAATATATTTAGGAATAAGGAGTATATTTAAGCCATAATTGCATAAAACCTATGCTCTGAATATAATACAATATATTGTGAACTGTAGTCAACTATGAAATCAATAACAAATAGGAACCCATTGGCCGGTCAGGTCGTCTTTGCGGTAATAACGCGGTCTGTTGTCTGGAAATATGGTGACCCCTGGGAAGGGATGCTGTTGTATGAACTTAAGGGTAGCCTTGGCGTCGTCTACAAAGCCTGGCGGTTCCACCTCTGGAGATGTGGACAAATGCTGACAAAAGCATTGAATATATAAATTAGTAAACAACAGAATCTCAAGAATAAGTCAAGAATCGGGATTCAAGAATAAGTCACACCTGGAGTATAAACTCATCGCTTTGCGAGAGCCAGAGGTCGACCCCTCTCATAGGCCTGTAATTGAATGGTCCGATTCGTAATAAACTCATATTTGTGTCGTAAATGTCGAGCATTTCGTGACAACCGGTGT